ACCTCTCCAGGGTGGTGTTAGAGAGGCATCGCTGCGGAGCTCCACCAACATGCCCTCAAAGCAGATATAGCATGGTAGAAATAGTATGTGGCCTTTTCTGTAGCCTACAGGCTGGATCTAAAATGTATGACAATGTAATGAGATGGAGACTTTTTACATCATGCAGGTTTCTCAGATTCAAATAGCTTAACCTAAATGGCGCCCAATCAAATAAACAAGCGCACTGCCATGTTAAACAACATATCCTAAAAACAGGACAGGTCAAAGTAAAATGGACAATATGGAATGAACATTCAGGATACTCACAACTGCTGTCCAGGAGTTTCACCCCATAGGCTAAATTGTCATGATCAGTGGTTTTAAGTTTGGATACAATTTTTACAAGCTGATCATAGCAAAACAGAAAATACTTCTGCATTTCTCGCTGTGTAAATACATTGCAAATAGGCTCAGGATAACTCCTCCAGATAAAGTTGGGTAGCTGATATTCTGAGCTTAAATAGCCAAATTGATTAGTCACAGAAATCAGGACTAATAAAGCCAATGCAATGGCCTGTTTTACAAATGGTGGGCCTACCACATGGATGGGCATTCATACAATTCCATTGCTGGCCTACATGGTAGGCTACACCCCAGTAAGCACGGACCGACGCCATCCGGACCGGCCTTCTTTTTTTTGTGTTTTACAAAACGGTTGTCCTACCACATAGATGGGCATTCCTAAAATTACATTTCAGGCGACACTGTAGGCTATACCTCAGTAAGCACGCTGACCGTCTTTTTTTGTTCAGATGTTATCCGGTCTGGACCAGCCTTGATTTGGCCCAAACATAGACATCTTTTCACCTTTCATTCAGAACCTAAATTGAACCAAACTTCAACGTCTGGAAAATACGTATTTTAGATGTCGTTTCAACTTCATTTTGCTTACTGGGACGGCATTTTTTAAAAGCCTGCATTCAGCTGTGATTATCCAATTAATAATAATACACATGAATACAATGGCATCAACACTAATACAAAGCACATATTCATTTAACAATAACAAAACAAGACATACAGCTCTCATCTGTTATAATAATCCAATGACTGAAATCAAAATACAAGTAGATATACACATCAGACTAGCCAGTTAACAATGACAGGTGAAAATGTAGCTATTAATGTTAGATAGCTAGCATTAAAAAATGAGATACATAATGCTGTAATAATTACGCAAATATTCTTAAACTATTGACAACTTTGTCAGTAAAACATGAGGAAAAGAAATACATTATTTACAGTTCTGGTATTTACGCACAGTGATGAATAAATTAGTTAGAAAGGAATAATGTCCAAAAACTGAGATTTGTGTTCACAGCAGGTGGCGAGCTGCACTTGGTAAACTGAGATTTGTGTTCACAGCAGGTGGCGAGCTGCACTTGGTAAACGGAGATTTGTGTTCACAGCAGGTGGCGAGCTGCCTTGGTAAACTGAGATTTGTGTTCACAGCAGGTGGCAGAGCTGCACTTGTAAACTGAGATTTGTGTTCACAGCAGGTGGCGAGCTGCACTTGGTAAAACTGAGATTTGTGTTCACAGCAGGTGGCGAGCTTGCACTTGGTAAACTGAGATTTGTGTTCACAGGCAGGTGGCGAGCTGCACTTGGTAAACTGAGATTTGTGTTCACAGGCAGGTGGCGAGCTGCACTTGGTAAACTGAGATTTGTGTGTTCACAGCAGGTGGCGAGCTGCACTTGGTAACTGAGATTTGTGTTCACAGCAGGTGGCGAGCTGCACTTGGTAAACTGAGATTTGTGTTCACAGCATGTGGCGAGCTGCACTTGGTAAACTGAGATTGTGTTCACAGCAGGTTGGCGAGCTGCACTTGGTAAACTGAGATTTGTGTTCACAGCAGGTGGCGAGCTGCACTTGGTAAACTGAGATTTGTGTTCACAGCAGGTGGCGAGCTGCACTTGGTAAACTGAGATTTGTGTTCACAGCAGGTGGCGAGCTGCACTTGGTAAACTGAGATTTGTGTTCACAGCAGGTGGCGAGCTGCACTTGGTAAAGAACTGAAGCTGTGATGTCATCACTGAATTATTTTTATTCGATGGGGTTTAAAGGCGGTTGGCATACAATGTTAATGGTGCAGTACCGCCACCAGCTGGACGGGTATTGAACGAGAAAATAAAATCCATTGCGGGAAAGGGGGAAAATGGCATACAAAAACTTACACTTCAACTAACAAAACCCATCCCACTTCTTTAATCACAGTCCGTTCCAAGATACTTCCCTACACAGGCTCAGGGGCCTGTGAGGGTGGAACATTTACCGACCGGATTTCTTGCAAGGCCTCTGCTGTGAAATCATGAAGACCCAATGTTTAGCTGCATTCACAATGATTCCAATTTTCTCAGACTTCTCCGCTTGTGCTGTACAGTTTATGACCATTGCAATAAATAATACAAAGTCCACCTTTAACATGTTACGTTTCACGATACCTCGATTGATGAGAAACCTTCACTGGTCAGGGTGGCTCTACAACCATTGTTTCTTCCCTGCCACTCATTCCTTCCAATCTTCACTGCCTCCAGATAGGAGACAGGCTGGACACTCCTTACCCTTGCCACCTCGGTCTCCTTCACTTTAACAGGGCACTCCAAGAATTCGGGCGCATGTTCGCCTCCACAATTGCAGCATTTCACTTCATCTGGCATACTATACTCTTCCCTTCTGCACACACTTGACACATTACCAAATATTTTACATTTATGACACTGAAGGGGCTTGTGCACAAACGCTCTTACAGGGTATCTCATTAATAATAACTTTATATGAAAAGGGAGACTCTTCATCAAAGAACAGTAGTATGGATGAAGTGAATTTATTTTCTCCATCAACCATATTGGTCAGTCGAGGTGCACCAACCTCTTCATCTATGTCTTCAGTTATATATTATCTGCCTTTACTTCTTGCGCCACCCCAGAAATAATCACCTTAATAGGGGCCCTGCTTCGAAAATCCTTACAGAAAACGTTCCACAATTGCAACACCGTCGTCATTCTACATACCGTTCTTCAGTATATTCTGTTAGTCTGCACACACTTGAAACATGGCAAAATCCTTTACAATTCTTACACTGCAGTGGTTTGGGGACGAAAGCTCTTACAGCGTATCTTCCATAACCAAGCTTCACATGCGTAGCTATTTGCTCTTTATAAAAAACAACAGGACTGACAGACTTTCTTCTTTTTCTCCATTCACCTAGCAGGTGAGACGCCGGGCACCAACCACACCAGGAATTCTCTTCAGGTATTCAACCTGAACATCAGTCGTCACCCCTGAGATGATTCCTTTGACGGGTGCTCTACTCCGAAGTTCAAAACACAAAACTTCTGTTGTCCGGATTCTTTTGAAGCCCACTGCAATCTTCCTCTGCTCTTCAGAAATACAATTAATCAAAATTGTTTTATATATTGTTTTATATACATACAGTACCAGTGTGCAAAGCTGTCATCAAGGCAAAGGGTGGCTAATTTGAAGAATCTCAAATATAAAATATATTTTGATTTGTTTAACACTTTTTTGGTTACCATATGTGTTATTTCATAGTTTCAATGTCTTCACTATTATTCTACAATGTAGAAAATAGTAAAAATAAAGAAAAACCCTTGAATGAGTAGGTGTGCCCAAACGTTTGACTGGTACTGTACATAGGCCTACATATTTACAAATATCTTCACATGATGGTGTTTCTATTAGTTAAAAATAAAAACAGTTTGATCTTAACATTTGAAAAAGGGCTTTTTTTTTATTCACTGTGTGATTTTTATGCCCTGATTTCTATAGGTAAATTATTCTAGGTAAGCCTTTGTGTCTGAAAGATGTTACTCCAACCTCATGATATACCTTTGGAATTTGTAATTGCTACTGTTGTCGAAAGGAGTAGTGTGAGTTTTGTGAAGTTAGGTGTTCCTTAACCAATGCCGTTGTCTTCTGTTTGGGAGTGATTCCTACATTGTGCAATGATGTCTTATAATGGCATACAAGAATGAATTGGCAAAGATTGTTATAAATGACATCTAATTCGCAAAGTATGGTCTTGGTTGTGTTTTGATAGATGAGGTCATCATAGTCTAGTACAGGAAACAGCAGTTGGGTTACTATGGTCTTTCTAATGGATACAGTAAAACAATTCTTATTACAGCTTGTTATAGTTGCACCATCGGATAATAACATGAAAGGGAAGCAAATGTCAGGGTCTAGGAAGCTGCGTTCTGATCACTGTCTGTTACACTGCATCTCTCAGACTAGTTAGTCTGTATTTTCTGTGTGCATTAGGCCTAGCCTGTGTATAATTGACTACAGCATCTTCAAACGAATAATGTAACAATATCATTAGATGGAGTTGTCATAAACAATAAAATCAAGTTAAATATAACATTAAGTTAAGCTATAAAGTTATGAAGTTATTTATGAAAGTAAACAAAAAGTCTACAAAATGTGGAAATATCTGTGCCGTGTCATCAGTAAGATACGAGCAGTCAATGAATAAACAAGAACATCAAAATTATCAGAAGCATACTTTTATTTTTGCAACTTTAAGTGTGTTTTCTCTTGTTAAATGTACATGTTGGCAGACACTCTTTTACAGTATGCTCTTATGCACATTTTTCATCATCGCTTCATTTGTGAGCAAAATCTTTGTTGTGCTTCTTTTTTTCAAATACATCGAACATTATGCCTCTTCATTATAGCGTTTCTATAAAAATCACTACGAAGACATTAGACATGAGTGAGCAAGAATCGTTACAGTACAGTTTTATGCGGTACATGGATGAATGGTTCATATTCACTTTAGTACACACTTCTTATCAGTTAACATTGCATACTAAACATTTCAACTAAACACTGTTGTGTAGGATGTCAGGATACATGGAGGACATTTGCGCAATGTTTAATGGTGATCATTGTGTGGACCCCCAATAAGAATAGCTGCTGCTTTCGATACAGCTAATGGGGATCCTAATAAAATACCAAATAAAATACAAAAAAAAATAGTTTCAAGGCTCTTGAGTTGTAGTATTATACAGTACATACATATAAATGGTAAGTTAAAGTGCTTTCAAGTACATGTGAGATGAATATACACCAAGTTGATAAAACCATTCCTCTAATTTCAAAATGTTTAATCCCTGGCCTACATTAAAAAAAAATAAGTTTGCAATCTGAGAAGTTTCACCATGTCTGTGAAGTTTCTTGACAGGCTTGTTACGTAAATCAACTTTATTAAAACATTAGTCAATGTTCTCTGATTGGTGAGAAGAAACCTCTGGCTCCTCCACTTCTAGGAATGAACCGCCCCATTGAGGGCACAGTGGCCCCTTCTACACCAGGAGAAAAATGACAGTCGATCAACATAAATGGAAAAACAAAACAATCAAATGATAGCTAATGTATAAAGCCAAGGAAGTTAACTATATCTTACCTGCAGATTTGGGTGGAGCACTCAAAATGGTCTCGGCAGTAGGCCCCAGTGGGCTTGGTACCCATGAACCTCCACAGAGGGGTCATGCGGGTTCTCCGTTGCAGTAGCTTGGTGCCCTGCTGGAGGCTCAGCCTTGAATCATGGCTTCCTATTTGACTAGCACACACCTGCCATACAAAGTGTATACATCAACAACATTTAGCATTACGGTTTCACTACTGGTTAAATATGGTTAACAACACTATTGAAAAGAAAACGATAAAATAATGATCAAAAGTGCTTTACCTGATGCATAAGAATCAGAGCCACTAGACACACTCCTTGCGTTGCTTTGCTGTAGTTTTGACCGTGCATGGTGAGATATATCCTGGAAAATTCGGTGAAAGGTGCTGGATGGCAGCTAGGTGTATGTTCTAACTACAGTAGCAAACATGCTTTTGGAGAACTCCGCTTATATACTCACTCTCTCTCTCTCTCTCTCTCGCTCTCTCTCTCTCTCTCTCTCTCTCTCTCTCTCTCACACACACACACACACATACATTTTACATTTAAGTCATTTAGCAGACACTCTTATCCAGAGCGACATACAGTTAGTGAGTGCATACATTAATTTTTTAACAATTATTATTTTATTATTATTTTATGCTAGGCAAGTCAGTTAAGAACAAATTCTTATTTACAATGACGGCCTACCCCAGCCAAACCTGGACGACGCTTGGCCAATTGTGCGCCGCCCTATGGTACTACCAATCACAGCCGGTTGTAATACAGCCTGGAATCGAACCAGGGTCTGTAGTGACGCCTCTAGCACTGAGATGCAGTGCCTTAGACCACTGCGCCACTCGGGAGCACACGCGCACACGCACACACGCACACGCACACACACTCGTACTCACACTCACATGTCATGTCATGTCAAATGACCATAAGACAATGATGAGGACACCCCCTCAATTGGATAAAAGGAACACCTTATTACTATTATTGCTGCACTTTGGACTTTGTCATTTAGACAATGATGACAACGGCAATTAATTAACAATGGACAATATATTGAAGTGTCATACAGACTGGTGCTGCTTCTTCGTGGGGACACAATGCATTGCATCCTTATATGGCCTAAATATGGAAATATACATTGGAAGCTATTCCCCTACAATTTTTTATTGTACTACTGTTTAGAATAGATGGCCAGTCCCATATGGGCTACCACACAATTCCATTAAAATAAAAAAATATATATATATATGGCTGTCCCCCTCCATTTACGCTACTGAATTTATCTCCCAGGGAGGACATGGCCTACAGGTCACGATTAATTATTGTGAAGATCTAGATTATAGACTGCTTTTCTTGCACATACCCTCTTCTTTTTTCTTGTATTTAGTATAGAGCACCTAAATGCTTAATACAAATGGATGGTACATTTATGTCTAAGGTAATTTAAACCATATTGCTGATAATAATGAATGGTTTACAGGGGGGGTTTTCTGGTTGGGGAACGATCAATGGGTGGGTTTCCCTGAGGGTCCTGCTTTGTGTTTCACATCTATGGACTTATCAACAATAAAGATAATAATTACATAATTAATAATACATTCTTTTTTTTCTTTTTTTTTTACAATGTCAACGCTAGCTATTCTCTCTTGGAATTTGAAAGGCCTTAATAGTCCTATTAAACGTTCCAGCTGTCTAGAATTTCTAGCAAGGAACCATACTGATATAGACATTTTCCAAGAAACACACCTGTTCCAAAAGGACGCCCATATAATAGAGAACCATTTGTACAAACTGAATGTCTTTTCATCAGCCCCAAACAAAACTAAAGGTGTAATCATAATGATACATAAGAAACTCAAAATCCCCATCATGGGTAATGGCGAAGACTAAGAAGGCAGAATCACTTTCCTTAAATGTACAGAGCTTTCAGAAAGTAGTCATACCCCTTGACCTATTCCACATTTATTTGTGTTACAGCCTGAATTCAAAATGGATTCAATATTTTACACACAATACCCCATAATGACAAAGTGAAAACATGTTTTTAGACATTTTTGCAAATGTATTGAAAATGAAATACAGAAATATCTCAATACATGTTAGAATCATCTTTGGCAGCGATCACAGCTGTGAGTCTTTCTGGGTAAGTCTCTAAGCGCTTTGGACACCTAGATTGTACAATATTTGCACATTATTCTTTTTTAAATTATTCAAGCTCTGTCAAGTTGGTTGTTGATCATTGCTAGACAGCCATTATCAAGTCTTGCCATGGATTTTCAAGCCAATTTAATAAGTCAAAACTGGAACTAGGCCACTCAGGAACATTCAATGTAATCTTGGTAAGCCATTCAAGTGTATATTTGGCCATGTGTTTTAGGTTATTGTCCTGCTGAAAGGAGAATTTCTCTCCCAGTGTCTGTTGGAAAGTATACTGAACCAGGTTCCCTCTAGGATTTTGCCTGTGCTTAGCTCTATTCCATTTATTTTTATCATAAAAAACTTCCTAGTCCTTGTCGATGACAAGCATACCCATAACATGATGCAGCCACCACCATGCTTGAATCATGCACCACCATGCATATGCTTGAAACCATATGAAGAGTGGTACTCAGTGATGTGTTGTGTGTTGGATTTGCCCCAAACATCATGCTTTGTATTTCTTTGCCACATTTTTGCAGTTTTACTTTAGTGCCTCATTGCAAACAGGATGCATGTTTTGGAATATTTGTATTCTGTCCAGGCTTCCTTCTTTCCACTCTGTCATTTAGGTTGGTATTGTGGAGTAACTACAATGTTGTTGATCCTTCCTCAGTGTCCTTTCTCTCCGGCAACTGAGTTAGGAAGGACACCTGTATCTTTGTAGTGACTGGGTGTATTGATACACCATCCAAAAGGGATATTCAATGTCAGATTTTTTTTACATCTACAAATAGTGCCCTTCTTCGCAAGGCATTGGAAAGCTTCCCTGGTCTTTGTGGTTGAATCTGTGTTTGAAATTCACTGCTCGACTGAGGGACCTTACAGATAATTGTATGTGTGGGGTACAGAGATGAGGTAGTCATTCAAACATCATGTTAAACACTATTATGTCCATGCAACTTTTTATGTGACTTGCACATTTTTACTCCTGAATTTATTTAGGATTGCCATAACAAAGGGGTTGCTCAGCATATGTGGGAACGCCTTCAAGAAAGCATTCCAGGTGAAGCTGGTTGAGAAAATGCCAAGAGCGTGCAAAGCTGTCATCAAGGCAAAGGGTGGCTACTTTGAAGAATCTCAAATATAAAATATATTTTGATTTGTTTAACACTTTTTTGGTTACTACATGATTCCATATCTGTTATTTAATGGTTTTGATGTCTTCATTATTATTCTACAATGTATAAAATAGTAAAAAATAAAGAAAAACCATGGAATGAGTAGGTGTGTCCAAACTTTTGACTGGTACTGTATATATTTTGACTGGTACTGAAGGCACTGTATATATATGTGTATATATATATATATATATATATATATACACATATATATACAGTGCCTTCAGAAAGTATTCAGACCCCTTGACTTTTTCCACATTTTGTTACCTTACAGCTTTATTCTAAAATGGATTGAATATATATATGTTTTGTAATCTACACACAATACCCCAGAATGACAAAGCGAAAACAGACTTTTAGAAACTTTTGCCAAAAAAAAATCTATAAAGAAAGAAATACCTTATTTACATAAGTATTCAGACCCTTTGCTATGAGACTCGAAATTGAGCTCAGGTGCATCCTGTTTCCCTTGATGATCCTTGAGATGTTTCTACAACTTGATTGGGGATGTTTTTCAGCGGCATGGACTGGGAGACTTGTCAGGATCGAGGCAAAGATGAACGGAGCAAAGTACAGAGAGATCCTTGATGAAAACCTGCTCCAGAGCGCTCAGGACCTCAGACTGGGGCGAAAGTTCACCTTCCAACAGGACAGCAACCCTAAGCACACAGCCAAAACAGAGAGGAATGGGAGAAACTTCCCAAATACAGGTGTACCAAGCTTGTAGCGTCATACCCAAGAAGACTCGAGGCTTTAATCGCTGCCAAAGGTGCTTCAACATAGTACTGAGTAAAGGGACTGAATACTTATGTAAATTGATATTTCAGCTTTTTATTTTTAACACATTTGGAAACATTTCTAAAAACCTGTGTTTTGCTTTGTCATTATGGGGTATTGTGTGTAGATTGATGAGGAAAAAAACTATTTTATCAATTTTAGTACAAGGCTGTAACGTAACAAAATGTGGAAAAAGTGAAGGGATCTGAATACTTTCTGAATGCACTATATATACACACCAATTTGTAAGTCGCTCTGGATAAGAGCGTCTGCTAAATTACGAAAATGTAAATACCTATTTAAATCTTTTTTACTTTCTTTTGCTTTCAGGCCCACGGGGAAGATGTGGTATGGGGAGGGTTTTCTCTGGTCACCGGGAGGGGGTTTGAGGTAATGGGTATTGGAGGTTGGGGGTGGAGGTCCACTTTTGTTTTTTTTCCTTAAACTATGTATGTATTTCTTACTGTTATTTTCCTTTTGAGTGGCAGCCTATGGGTACATGTTTTATAAACTTATACATTTAAATGAATAATGTATACAAAATTACAAAACTTGGTAAAAAAAAAAAAAAGAGGTCACAACGGTGAAAGCACGATGTTCTCAATGTCTGGACAAAATGTTCCTCTCTTTCATACATTGGAACCAGACACTAGTCATAAAACAAGCTCACACAAGGGGACTAACATACACATTATTTTACATTATATGTTATAGAGTTTTAGAGTTTACAAACGCTGGACCTGGATATTGAACCTTCAAAATTCTGTTGTTTATGTTATTCATTAATAAAAAATGAAAAAAATATTTTTATCCTGGTCTTTGTTCTGCATTGGTAGGATAGCTTTGAAATGCACAGCATCCTGTTACATTCAAGGAGATAGTTGGATATCACTTAAAACTGTCACATGTCCAAGATACTACCGCATGCAAGATCAACAATCAGGTGTGGATTACACATAACCACTGAGCTTGAAGTTTGCCCTCTGTGGATGATCTTTGGTTAGTTCTTTGCTCTGTATGCAACATCACACCTAAGTCATCCCACGGTCAGTATTTCGAAATGGTTCTCTCCACAACTCTTATCTATCTAACCTGGAGAGTTTGCTATCTTCTATTCCAATATTGATTGGGTAAACTTTCACTGTATATTACTCAATTTTCAGATGATGCAAGGCAGAGCAACAATCTTTTTTGGATTCTTTCAGTTTCTTGTGGATAGCAAGGCAGAGTGACCATTCTGATGCTAAAGAAGAAGCAGTCTAGTTGTCTGTCTAGTTCAGGGGTGTCAAACTCATTCCACGGAGGGCCGAGTGTCTGCAGGTTTT